TTATAACAGTAAAGTATAAATGTGCTATAAATAAAAACTAATTTAAAATCAATAATTTTCTGTTGATAAGGAGATAACTGTTTATCATTACATAAAAATAAAAGATACAATAAGCATTAAAAAATTATGTATATACAAAACAATAATTAAACTTCACTAGCTCTCATAATTTCATTTTTTAAAATTATTTATGGGCTGTTGTTTAACTCTGTTTATTAACTGCTACTAATTACTTATATTTAAATAGAATTATTAAAATATTTTTACATTATTAATCCATTAATATAAATTCTACTTGAAATTTAAAAAGTACCCATTGATTATAGATTAGTCCATGCTATCTGTGCACTCCACTTTCACGACTGCTGCTACTATAAAAAATAAAAAAGCAGTTAAAATCGCAATAACAACCTTGTATTTTGCGTACATTTATTAAAATACTCAATCGATTTTGAGGGCAGCTACAGGTCCCTCCTCATCAGGAGAACGAAATTACTAGAAAGGGAAAGCAACCTTTACAGCTAATGGCTTTATATACCCTCTGGTACCTAACGGCTTTATATACCTTCGGTAGTAACACGTGAGAGGAGGCAACGCCATCTATCGGCAAAAATAATAACCAAAAATTATGTGAATAGAATTTTAAAAGCGTTAAGAAGGACTGGATTGGACTTAAAATCATTCACTAAACATGCTAAATCTTTGTGAATGTGAAAAGCCTCAAGAAAATCCAATTCACCAACGGAAGAAGCTTTTTGGATAATTTGTGCAGATCCAAAGTCAAAATTATGATTAAATTTCCAACTATGATACGCTACTGAAGACTTGTTAATTTCGCCTTTTTGGACATAAGATTCATATTCCTTGATAAGAAACTTTAACGCTCTTTTTGTTTGGCCAATATATCTCAAGCCACACTAACACGATATACTATAAATTTCCCAAGAATTAAAGTCAGAAATGCAATCTTTTAGAATCGAACCATGAATTTTATTGATAGGGGAGAAACTGACTTGAAAATTGAATTTCTGGAGAATCCGTGCAACTTTATAACTAACAGAAGGATAAAATGGAAGCATGACCAGGTCATTAATATTATTTCTAACGGTGGAATGTCTTCTTTGATGTGAATCCGAAAATTTTTTAACGGCTTTATCAATGATCACGGGAGAAAATCCTCAGTCAATCGCAACTGCCCTTAAATAATTAAGTTCACTGGTAAGCAAAGATTCTGAGGACAAACTTTGAGCATGCGAAATACATAATAGTAAAAAGAAGCCATTTTTTGCTTAACAGGGTGGCATGACTTAGCATGGGGTGGTAAACAAACTGCAAAGGGTTTACGGTACACAGTAGTGCTAAAATCAATTTCATTGTGGATTATAAGGATATCAAGGAAGGGGACGGAATTTTTGGATTCATTTTCAAGAGTGAATTGGATGGCTGGATCAATTTAATTTATAATAGATAAAATCTCGGATAAATCTTCTTTATTACCATCAAAAAGCGCGAAAACAACGTCTACATACCAAATCCAGAGATGAAAAGATAGTTTTATCAAATAATTTTACCTCAAAATAGTGCATATAAATGTCACTGTACTTTCTGACATTTATATAGCCACTAAAAGGCCTTTTTCTATTTAAAATTTTTAAATTATTACTTTCTTTTTGTTCCCCCCCCCCCAAAAAAAACTGGATTTGAACTGGTACAAGCTATTTACACGATTTCTGCAGTATTTCTGTCCTACTCAATGTAACAGTAAAGGCTATATTTTAGACTGTAATTTTCTTTTCAATTTTTAGTTTTAAGTTTTTATAATTTTTACCTCATAATTAATTTCATTTAATACTTTCATTTTTTATATCTTTTTATAAAAATTTTTCTCATTGGTAACGGTTTTAGGTTCATATGAATAAATAATAAGCACACACTTTTCTATGTAATATAGTTTTGTAAACAGGTCAAGATGTGGAAACCCAAGCAACGAAGAAATTTGTAAAATATTACAATTATGAAGAAACGAATAAGCCACACAAAGATGAAAATGAAATAAATACTCAAAATGAGATGAGTAATGAATCTGAGCAAGAATTAAAATGTGTTTAGGAAATCCTGTAACAAGGCTGTTAAATAGATAATGAAGATCTCCAATGATAATTTTTTTTTTTTTTTCTAAAATACACTATATTTGAAATAAATGTCACAGAACATTTCAAGAATGTTTTCATCTTTATAATTAATGGTATTGTATTCAGACATTTCATTTTTTTAACATAAATTTTGTCAATTTTAAAATATGCACTTGTAGGAATTGCTCATAATGGATGAAACTGCAATTAAATTTCTGGAAGAATATGCTACTTTGTGACCCTATTCTAAAAGCAATTGCCAAATTTCCACCAGAACAAAAGGTGTCAAAAATACTAATAAGCAGGTTTATTGATTGATTTTTCAGAATAAAACTTAATTAAAATGAAAAATATGGATAAAATATGTAATAAATAATCTTCTGAAATTATAAGTTATAATTATTTTTCTTCTGCAAAAAATCACCATAAGTACAATCTGCCCTATATATAACTTTCAATTTTTCTGAAATATATATATGAATATGCTCATCTGGAACCACATAATAACACAAAAATTTAATTGCTAACATTCTGAAAAAAAAATTAAGTTTGGAGTTTTGGAGAACAAATATATTATAAACAAATTATAAACTTTGGCATTCGGCAGGATTTTAAGATTGCAGAAAATCCCCAAAACAATGCCATAAATATAGTTACATCTAATATTTTCAATTTCTTATTTACATCGATTTAGTAGCCAAATATTCTTTTTCTTAATGCAAAAGCATTCAGATTTTAAGCGTTGCCTCATTTCCATTAATTTTAATGTTTTACTAAAAATTGCTTCGCCAATTTTTACAATCTGTAATATAGTTGTAGCTTAATTTTACCTGACGAAAAAAGAGCAGCTGATTTTAGATATTCAAAAATTAAAGCGGTAAATTAAAATTATCTGCTAAAGCTGCAGATTGGGGGGAAAATGTTTTTGTCATCAAAGGCAAATTTTTTCTTAGAATTTGGTTCACTTTTTTAAATATAGTAAACACTCAAAGATTCATTTTGCAAAATGCTGCAATTTTTTATTTAAAGTTAAGTATAATATATTTCTTTATGTTTTGTTTATATTAATGCTTCGTATTGGTTATCTTACATGTATTTACCTAAATACAAACTGCTATCCCCCTTTTTGCAAATTTTTCATTTTCCTGCTAGCTGCAAATAACTACCAATTTTAACTTGCTATTGAATTCACTTGAATTACGTTAATTAGAAGATGATGTATTAGACTTTCAATTCTAAAATGTGCTATTATTTGGAGATACAAGTACATACAATCTAGTCTCGATATTCTTTCCAAATTGCACAGGCAGTCGTAAAACTAAAAAATTTCAGAGCAGAGGATACTAAACTGAAAAATCAAATTTCTGAAATTTTAAAAGATAAAGGAACATTCAAAGGAAATAATGACTGATGAAAAAAGAGAAAAAATTCTCAATACAGTTTTATCAACTGAAGAGAATGAGAATGAATCAGTTCATTTAAAACTGAATTCACAAATGCTTCATCAAATCATGAATCCCCCCTCCTCCTGAAATAAAAATATCAAAACCTCTATCATACATAACAGAATTATACATTTAAGGAAAAGGAAAGACCTTGCCATGTGTCCAAAATAGATTTAGGCAGGTGTTCTTTTGAAAGTAACTCAGATTTGGTTATTATTTTTAATTAAATTTTTTGTCAAGTGCATTCAATCATTTTAGAAAATATTTCTTGAATTTTTAATACGCCCCATCAATCTTATTATTAATATATTATCACTTTTTACTTTACTCAAATGACGAAATCTCAAAATTTTAATTTGATGAAAAGCACAATTTATTATTACTTATTATTATCCACTTTTTACACTTACTCAAATGACGAAATCAACAACAATTTAATTTTGATGAAAAAGCAAAATTTCAAATTATTATACACACAAATGAGGAAAAAAGTTAAAAATCCTCAAGAATAAAACCAGAGATCAAAAAGATTCAGGAGGTTCAAATGTAAAGATTCAAACATTGATCAAAAAAGTCTTTGGAATTTAATGTGTGCATAGCATCTAAGTAGAAGACTTAGATTATACATATATAGATAATATATATATATTGAAAAAAATTTAAAAACTACTACGTTCTGATATTTCTACAGATATCAAGTTACTAAATTAAATGATATTATAAAATTGCTTTTATGACAGTAGAAAAATATTAACAAAATTATGCTTTATGACAGGCAACATTTATAAACATTTCCAAAATTTCTTGAATCACAATTACTTTGGAAAGAGAAAACTAAGAAAAATAATAATGCATGAAAAAAACATTATAATGTTTCTCACAGACAGCCTAAATGAGGCATAAAATCTTTTCACACTTCAAAATCTTATAGAAATTATGCACTCAAACACCAAATCAGGCAAAAATATACAATTCATATTAAACGTTTTCCAAAATGACTCCAACTTTAGAGATAATTTTATGAGCATATCAATACAACTAATTTATGTTGTGGAAAAAAAAGAGACGAGAGAAATGAAAATGTCATATTAACAGTTAAAACCCAGAAAAAGAAATTTCTATTTTGTTAAGAATTTAAAAAAAATCATAAAAGTTCACCACATAATATAAAAATTATTTTTTCAGAATTTTTTTTAGACTGAATAATGCAGAGCTATGAAAATTCTATTCTACAATTCTACAATTTACTGCTGCTCAAAAAAGGTTATATGGAGTTCAGTACCTAAAGCATGACCCAACTTAACATAAAATAAATTTGAAAAAAAAAAAAACTTTTGAAATAATAATATTTATCTATATTACAACCTTTTATGCTATGTTCACCATGCATATTAAACACTAGTTGTATCTAAATGCTTAAGGTAGAAATATGTTTTTCAAAACATTCTAAAAATCACATATATATATATATAAGTGAATATTAACAGTTAAATAGATTTGAAAGGACAGTATTGCATTCTATAAACTTTTAACCATTTAACACAGGTTATAAGAGTAATCTATAAAACAACACATCAGATGTAAAAATATTATTAATTTAATCCACTTATGCCAAGGAGTGCTAGCTCTTATGGTATTAAGATATAAATTTAACATTCCTTGACACTCAGAGTTAATTTTAAGCTCTAAAAAAGTAAAATTTATTTAAAATTTAAAGGATGAAATAACACTTGAATATTCTCAAACAGAGAAATATACAACACAGGAACATAAAATTTCACATCGATAGGAAGTAAAATTCACTGGCAGTTTCGTACTCTTATTTTTTCTAATTGCGATAAACAAACATACTTTTATTTTCCTATATGTGATGTGCTTTTTACTAATCAGTTTAAAAGCAATCATTCTGCATAAAATTTTCAATACTCAGTGGAAAATTACATAATTATATAAAGTTCCACTTCTACAGTTAACTATACTTAACTTTCATAATGTAGACTGCAGAGAACAAATTACAAATAATTTTATTCTACATTTTAAAGCTTAAAATCGTATAGATACGTTTCTAAAAACTGTTAACATTTGTCATGCAGGAAATTTTAATCAAGCATGTTTGAGTAACTACAACTACAGAGATCAACTTGTTGAACAATTATTTGGTGATTTTTCTAGACTAGCAATTTTTATGACTAGGCAAGATGATCTCCGCAATTTTCATAAAATTGGATTGCATCAGTTCTTTTTCTCCACTATAAAAGATAAAATCAACTGACTGACCTAATGCCAAGCCAAAAATAGCCAAAAATACTGCCGAAGATCCAAGTTTTCCAATATAAAGAACGTCCATATGATGTAAATATAAATGGAGCACTGAGTGTCATGAAGAAGACAAAACAACCTAGATTCTGTAAAAGATTTGCAGGAGATCTGATTCCTTGAGATAATAAAAGACACTTGGACGGAGATTGCTTTCCACTATAATAGTCTTCAAGGAGTCTAAAGCAAAGAAATAGTTATTAAAAACATTAACTTCGTATTTTCAAAATCACATAAATATGATATATAAAATTTATAAACCTGATGAAAGAAAATTTAAATAAAGTTGAACCCCATAAACAGACAGTTCTTGAATCATTAAACAGAAGCATAACAGTCCTTGAAGCAGGAGATCAATACACTTCGTCATAAAGGACAAAACTTTTATCTCATTACTGTCCTCTAAAGGAAGTTTGACTGAATATGAATATTTTAACTGGATCCCCAAAATAAGATTTATTCCCATTAACTCTTTTGGACTCAACATTTTTACTGTTCTCGCTTCTTTTGAAACTACATATGTGCTATACGTAACAGGCACAGTATTTTTAAATGTTCTCATAACACTAGTTCGAGTTAAAACATTATTTACAAATATGAAAGAGAAAGCACACCATAAATGCTCAATGAATTATACATGAATGTATAAGGTACTTTCTGCATGCTTTCGTGGTGTAATGGTTAGTAATAGTGTAATGGTAGTATAATGGACCTTAAAGCCACAAACTTTTTGTCGCATTGATGCATGCGCAAAAACTCATTAAAATTTCCTGCGCCAAAGCTTGGGGAGGACGCTGCGGTGCGCAATGAATTGGAAGTTGATCTGTCAGCACTATCCTTATCTTCAGGCCAGATGTTTTTATTTTATTTGGCTTATAATTCCTTACTAAATATAGTATTTCATCTCGATGCACTCCGTCTTTGATATGATTTAAATCAAATTCCTCGTCATTATAATTCACTTCCAATAGTGAAGAAAATGACACAGAGGTTATTGAAAACGAAAAAATTTCGTTGACAATTAGTTGGTATTCTCGACACAGCAATTATAGGACTTGAACAGCGGAACTTTGTAACTGACAAGAAATTATGTCTGTTATAGAATTAAGAGAAAGTCTTATCATAAAACGAAGCAACTTAAACAACTTACTTGAAAGTATTGTTTAATAAAGTAAACAATAAATATTAATTTTTTTTTTTTTTTTTTTGTAAATTTTGATACCCTTTAGATCATAATTGTTCTTTATTTCATAAATTACGGTTTCATATTTTTAATTTTATAATTTCTGCATGCCATCTTACCAGATTTAAACTGATGATCTATAATCCGGAAAAATCGATAATTCCGAATCGCCGAAGTCCCAACAAGTCCGGATTAACGACTTTTGACTGTATAATGGTTAGCACACTCAACGTGTATTTGAGAGGTCTGAGGTTTGAGTCTCGCCAAAGGCATTATTCATTTTTCATGTATAATCAGAAAACCCCGAAGTAAAAGAAGTATGTTGTCACTTAGCAAAATGGCAATATATTTATCTATTGAATTTAAACACCTTGTGGAAAATAGTGGCACCTCCAGCCACCAAATTTTGAACACACAGTTTTTCACCTCAAAACGTGCGCATGAAGGTTAAAGCTTGAATGTTGTATTTGTTTTTTTTTACTTAATTTGTATTTTGGTCAAATTTAAGAAAACGTCTGATTAAAAACTGAGCAATATAAGGGATATAAGAGATGTGTTGCCAATGCCCAAATTAAAATATTTTTACCTTTCATGTAACAGCATGTTATTGATGAACAACAAAGTGTTAAATTAAATTAATTTTTTTTTCAAATTTATTGTGTTATTAATTAACAAACTATTTGATTTAAAAGCAATAAATATAAATTCATTTAAGTACTAGCTGGAAGTGTGAAATTACATTAGGCAGATTTGTTAATAAAATTACATATTTTTATAACTTCTTTTAGGCAGCTGGCTGTGTAAGTAGCTAATGCACATAAATATGGTCAAATGTAAATGTATGCTTTTACATTTACTTACAAGCATTAAAATGGGTACACTACTTGGTTAAAACTTCTACCTTTTATTTTAATTTGAATATTTCTTCCTGAAAAATATAATTTTTTACTATACAGACTTTCAGTAAATATCAAGTAATCCCATAAAAGAAGTCACTTTCAGAAAGATCTTGGTAATAGCACTCAAGACAATAGCTGTAAGAATGTGAGTGCTAATTTTAATCTTTCAAAGCCCTTCAGACAGTCACAGTACAGCACATTAGATATGTCATGCTTTCTACATAGAAAAGGCAATGGTGCAACAAATGCTAAAAAATATAAAAGAAGTGTATGGTAAAAGTGTTCTTAATATTTGCAAATGCCAATTATTGTTCTGTACATTTTGGGAATGCAACATTAGCTTGAAAGCCAGCCATTGTGAGTATACATTTTTGATAATGACATGGTAGAAACTGCAGTTGAAAAAAATCCTTATGCAGCTGTTAAAAAGCTAGTAAAAGAGATTAATCATCAACTTTCTGTTGCCACTGGAAGGAACTTAGAATTGTGTCCAGATTTAGCAAAATGGATTCCACATAAACTACACTGGTAGTTCGTTGCCAGTTTGAATCCTGGTGTACGGGCTGGCTGCATGGGCATTTTTGTACGTGTAACACTTATATGATTCAGTTTCCCTTGGAAAGTCCTCCCCGAAGGCAACTCTAACCTTAAGCAGATGGACCTCAAGTGTTTTGCCATAATCAAATAAGAAAAACTAATCCACATAAACTTCCTGATGCTAATCAAAGAGAATGCATGAATAGCTGCACTTTTCTTCATACATTCACATGAACCAAATTCTCCTTTTTTAAACTGTTTAGCCATGGTAATGACCTTGCAGGATTTCATTGATAAATATATATATATATATATATAATCCGCATGAGGCATTTGAAATAGACTTTCATGATTTTTTTCCTCCAATAAACCTGACGATTATTTTTAGAAATAGCATAAAATACCTATTACAACTCTGGAAGAATCTTATTGATTCAGATGGAGAATATGCAATTGATTAAATAAATACCTTATTTCGTCAAAAACTCATTTAAAAACATGACTTTATATACATTTCATTAAAGCACTGAAATTTAGATTTTAAATTGTAATACTATACACATTCAAATAAAGTTTCTGAAAAATATCAAACAAAAAATTTTAAAAAAGGACAAATTTCATTAACATACCTGTCTTTCTTTAGGAAAATGTTATGAAGCCACAACTTTAATTCTGATTCATTTGCAGGAATGCTACACGTATCAATGCGATTAATATGAATATACACAGCATCACAACAACCAGTTACAAATTCTGGAATTCGAAATAAAATTACTAAGTCTTGAATCACAATAAAAACTTTTGCTTCAATAAACCTGAGGATCAAGGATCTAAATATGAGATAGTTATACAGTCAAAAGTCGTTGATCCGAATTCATCGGGACTTCGGCGATTCCGGATTATCGATTTTTCCGGATTATAGATCATCAGTTTAAATCTCGTAAGATGGCATGCAGAAATTCTAAAATTAAAAATATGAAACGTAATTTATGAAATAAGAACAATTATGATCTAAAAGGTATCAAATTTACAAAAAAAAAAAAAAAGCTTAATATTTATTTGTTTACTTTATTAAACATTTCTTTCAATGTAAGTTGTTTAAGTTGCTTCATTTTATGTGATAATACTTTCTCTTTAATTCTATAAACAGACATATTTCTTGTCAGTTACACAGTCCCGCTGTTCAAGTCCTATAATGCTGTGTCGAGAATACCAACTAATTTGTCAAACAAATTTTTTCGTTTTCAATAACCTCTGTGTCATTTTCTTCACTATTGGAAGTGAATTATAATGACGAGGAATTTGATTTAAATCATATCAAAGACGGAGTGCATCAAGATGAAATACTACAGTTAATTGCTGTGCCGAGAATACCGACTAACTTGTCAATCGAAATTTTTTTTGTTTTCACTAACCTCTCTGTCACATTCTTCATGTCTTTATCCATTTTTGCAGCAATTCCACTTTTTGTTTGTTAGACCATCGAAACATACTTTCGTTTTGTAGATCCTTTGGAAGTTCCAGCATCGGAAATTCTATTTGACATAATCGAAAGTTCAAGTTTACTTTTATAAAATTGCTCTTACAGTCTTCAAAAAATAATAAGCGGGATCCAATTCGAAGATTAGGAACAACGCAATCATTAACATTAACTGAAATAGATAATTAGATAATTTTAGCTTACACCGTCCGTTATACATTAAACGCGCAGGCGAAAACGTATTCTGCACTTGCGCACATGCATATGCGCAGTAGTCAAGGTCTTACGTGCACGCGTAAAACGCCTGTGCACATGTGGCAACGCGGCACATGCGCAGAAAGTTTTTAGCTTTGAGGTCCGGATTATGGGTGCTGAATTAACGACTTTTGACTGTAATAAAATTGTTTTATTTACATTTTTTAGAGAATTCTACTTTTATGAAAATATTTGCATTCATTAGGTACATTGGTCATCAAAATTCAAGGATAATGAGAAAAAATATGCTCCCTAAGTTAATGTTGAAACCAATGCTGTAATTATTTATGTTAATTAAATATACAATTGAACACAAAATTGCACTTCCATGCATGCATTAGTGCCAGAAATATGAAAATTCAGTGATTGACAATGTGGTGCACAATGGATGCATGTTGGAATTACGATTTGTAGTGCTGTCTAGAGTAAACGTGGTTTCTGAGAGTAATCAGTATTCGGTAGTTATGGCTCAAAGGCATCATTTGAGCAAAGGTCAAAAGTAGCAAATAATTGGTACAATCGAGGGAGATCAAACACAAATGGAGATCGCCCAAGATTTGAATATCACTCAAAATGTCATATCAAAAGTTTACAGCTGCTTTTTAAGCACTAGATCAGTTGATAGACAGCCTGGTCAAGGGCGACCAAGAGCAACAACTCCATCAGAAGACCGTTTTCTATTGTTGTCAGCTCAAGGAAACCGGGAAGAGACTATGAGAGATTTGGTTTTAGACCTTCAGGCTGCCAAATGAACTCAAATTAGTTGTTCTATTGCTGTATGAAAGCTTAATGAAGTTGGACTGTATGCATGAAAACCAATGTTTATTTCAATTAATTATCCCACTTATTCCATCTTCCAGATGAGCCTGTTTAAACGGCTGTCATAATGTTCAATAGAACCAAGATGATTGGGCACGAGTATTGTTTAGGGATAAGTCAATATATAGTCTTAACAGTGATTCTAGATACGTTTTCACCAAAAGAGAGGAAGGAACTCGCAACTTGCCTTCCTTGTCCATGAAATATCCCATTTCTATGACCGCAGTTTAATGGTTTGGGGAGGAATCAAACATTAAGCTGCGTATCTTTCAAGAAGGTCCTGTAACCACTCGCAGATTTATGGATGAGGTACTGTAGCCCCAAATTAGATTGTTTAGGAGTGCTGTCTGCCCAGAGTTTTTGCTAATGGATGACAATGCTTAGCCTCATCAAACATATGTGGTGTCAGAATACTTGTAAATAGAAGATATCACTCGAATGGACTGGCCAATTACTCTCCAACTTGAACTTAATTCAGCATGTGTGGGATGCCTTAGGTGCTGAATTTCAGAGCACTAAATTCCTCCCTTGACCGTCCAGATGTTCAAAAGTGCACTTTTAGAAAGAGTGGTATGAAGTTCCACAAGACTTGATCAACAATTTGGTTAACTCTATAAAATTGAGATGTGAGTCAGGCATATCTATCTAAGGGGATCATACACCATATTAAAGAAAAAAATTTTCTGTAAGAGGTGACTTAATTTTTCCATCATTTTCCAGAAATCTGGTTTTAATTTTAATATTTTGTAAATAATCAACTGCTAAATATTGTAATTTATATTAACTAATGCTTTTGTATAAATTTCTATTAATATTTTTTCATTAAGTATCAGTTATGTTTTATTTCTGCCATTATTCCTTAATTTTGATGATCAGTGTATATATGTAAAAGCACATTTTATCTCAGATTACTTCTAACTATCCCCTATTAAAAAAAATATTTTACATGCAGTAAGTAAGCTACAACATTCTCTTTTTCAGCGATAAAAGTCAATATATAAAATTAAAGACTAAGAGAATATAAAATTTGTCATTATAACATCTTTTGAATTCAAATTTGCCCTTTCTCTGGCTATAGCAACAAGTTCACCTCAATTGCTTTTATACACTTAAGTGACATTAAATTAGAGGTAGTGTAATATTATGGCAATACTCTCTCATTTTTGCACATATAAAGACACTGTCGGCATATATATATACATATATATATATACACAGCTGGCAGCTTAGCCCTCTTAAAGCAAGGTGCCAAGATGAGTAAAACTCAGACACTTTCAAATGAAAACAAATAATATGTGGTTGATACATGAGTCATTCAGTTGCAGAAACAGTTAAAAAGAAAAAATGAGAGAGAGATTTTTATCTTTTTACAGTATCAAGAGTAGGGCAAAAGTACATAGACAGTAGGAAAAAAAGTAATGAGGCAAACTGAAACTGACAAGCAGAATGATGTTATGATTATCTTGAATGATTGTTATCTTCAAAGATTCAGTTATAACACACATAGCCAACGATATCAAACCCTAGCTCAGGGAACCACCCAACTGAATGAAGGAGTCAATCATCAGCAGATGGAATGTGCAGCACTAATTTCATCATACCGACTTCAAAAGTACTGCCACAGAACAACATGACTGATACACTAAGGACTGGAAACATACAGCATGAACTGATATGGTGCTAGCTTCATGAAGAGATGGATCCAGTATACCATGTGTGAGCTATACAAGGTCATGGCGGCCAGTGACAGTCTGGGTAGTTCTTTCTTTTGACAAGACATGGGACTTGTCAAAAGAGATCCTATTTGATACCAAGTGCCTTCACTGCATTTAAATATAAAGCTCTGTTGGGAGTTCATTTAATTCTTTCATACTCTTCTGCCATGCCATTGAAAATAGAATACAACAGCAAGACAACTGCTCATGTCACAGATTTCAGTTGGCTAACATCTAGTTTAATGCCATTTCTTCAGGGAGAAGCTCAGAAAACCTAGCCTGAAATTCTACTGAGTACTTTGGGGAAGTGGGAAGAAGTATGTAAGCATGTCACTCATTTTTAAGTGTATTCACAGCATTCTTAAATGCTTTGTGAGAAATTCTAGAAGGTATTTCACAGGTCATACTTTTAAAACAATTCTTCTGAATCTATCCACTGGCTAAAGAAAGCAGCAACTTGCTACTAATCAGGTAAATCTAATTCAGTGGCACTTCAATGTATCAGTCAAGATTTCCAAAACCAGTTTGTTCTGGAGTTTTAAATTCTCAAAAACTGAAAAGCCAATTAAAATATATGGCATTCAACTTGTATTTTTATTAAAATATCGAGTTGTAACACTAGGAAAAGGAGATACCAATAGCTGATTGAAATACTGAAATCAAAAGTCTCATCACATTGCCAATGCTACCATTTCAAATTGTCTTTTGCATACATTCAAAGTTTTTTTTTTTTTTTTCCTGTTCTTGTTATAATCTATATTTCTTTCTATATATTTGCTTCTGTAATGTAATTGTTAAAAATTACAAATTAAAAAGTAATCACAAAGTCTTTCCCTAATAAAAAAAAATTACATAAAATTACTGCAGGAGATAGAAATGTGAAATTTTTATCATTATGCAATCTAAAATTATATAAGAGATAAAATTATATAATAGCTAATAAAATTATTGTTTTTATCTTGCAGTAGACGGCACCACAATAGTCAGAAGCTAATAATAGTTAGCAAAAGGGTGTCGAAAGAAAAAAAGTATCTGTGTTTTTTAGTATTGTGAAACTAAATCACTCACTAATAGTCATTTAGACGATTGTATGGGTGCAATCCTCCAAATCTTAAGAAGAAACAGGAACTGGTATGAAAAGTTTTATGGAAACTGGTAGCATTGGTGATGTTATTGTTCAATGTTCATGAATGCTATACCAGTTCTTTGCCATACCAGTCAGGATACTGAAGTTCTAAATATCTGATGCTGTCTCAAGTATCAATGAGCATGTAGCTAGAACTGGAAAACCAATTTGATATTCTCCAAGCTATAAAAAGGGCCACATGCTAAAATTTACCAATTCACTACTTTTCTTTAAAAAAACTCAATTACCCATTTTAAAAAAAGCAAATGTCTAATTATAATAGTTTTTGTGCAATAAAATAAATTTCTCAATAAAATATTAATTTTCTCAAGAAAGATTTTATGCTCACTCGGTACACATAGCTATTTAGATCATAAAACACATATGTATGTAGAAAACATTAAAATGTACTTCAATTACACAAAATATACTACTTATATATGTTAAAAATGTTCACAGAAAATGCTCACGGGGGAATTGTATATAAAATGTAAAAAATTATTATTTAGTATCCTTTGAAGTAATATCCACCAGAAGCCACACACTTTCTTCAACATTCCCAACATTTCTAGAAGCAGCAGTTTAATGATGTTTTCGATATTTTTTGTACGCAAGCAATTATGCAATTTTAGATATCTTGAATTGTATAAAATGTTGAATGTTTAGAACCATTTTAATATGAGAGAATGTTGGGATTACAGCATAAGAAATTTTACACTTAGGATGGTCATCACATGATAGGGATCTTTTCCTAATTAAAGAAACCCAAGCTTCTTTGCTCAAAATGCAACATAGCACAAAAGTTTTAATTCAATTGTGCAAAATACATTCTACTAATGTTTGCATTACAAATTAAACTATAATGTCCTGGATGATGTCACATCATACAATTATATAGGATATGCTAAATTCTTTTAACAACCAAATTAAATTAATTGAAGTTTCATGTACATGACATGACTTTTCCACAGACTTTTTTAACATGAGGATATATATGAATATTAAACAAAATTAAAATAAAACAAATGTTCTTAAGTACAAAATACAAAATTACCAAACATTGATGGCGCCTTCATACGCAGAGTTTTTTTGTCACCTTTTGTACAAGAATAAATCACAGTTGCATCATATACTGCATCAAGATTATCTTTCATATTTTCTAAAGCTATGTGAAAGCCTTTATACTTAGGGGTGAGGACATGCTTCAAAGGCACAAGACCTGTAATAAATAGCATTCAGGCAGTTAAATATTTAAATTTGCTTAATTAAGGATATTTTTGTTACTCAGTCTTAAAGCAGATCTGAAAGCAATATTTTTTACAATCAACTTTAGAAATTCTGATATTTAGACTAAAAGGACAATTTTAAGAATATCCAGAAACAAATTATAACATCAAAATAATATTACTCTTGCCTTTCACAGCATGAGAAAAATAAAATAATGTTTAAAAATACTTTTTAGATTTTATTATTACTTGAACATTGAAATTAAGCTTTAGTTAAAATATAAGTCCTTTTAATTGACTAAATACATAGAAATGCAAATTATACATTTTTGCTTCTATAGTAAGTATACTTGATACAAAATATCACAAAATTCTGAGCAAAATAATAAAGAAATCTGACCAAGAATATTTCAAAAACTGAAAAAAACTATGATAAATTAGTTCAGTTTTTAAATTTAGATATTCCTGAAACACCTCTTACCTTTAAATTTTCTAAATAATTTTAAAACAACAAGTTACTGAAATCATTGTACACAATATTTAAATTTCATTTAATTATAAATCAAAAAGTATTAATATGAAAACTAATTTCAAATGAAAAAATTCTGAGTGTATAGGGGAGGAGAATGAGTGGTCTCTCCTCTTCAGATGAAAACTATCTTTGTAAAAAATTCTAATTTTAGTTAATAAAGAGTAGTACATAACTGTTATAGTTAAAGCTGAAACATCAATGCAGATGTCTGCTCCAAGCTTTAGTTACTTTTATGTAGGAGGAGGTTGGGCATGAAAATAAAATTCTAATTTAAAAATCCAACAGAAATGCTGGAATATTAATGAAGTTCTATAAATAGAATTATGAAAAATAATATGTCAGCCAAATGAAGAAAAGTTAAATAGTTAATTACAAGCAGATCAGTTGTACTAATTACACTGCCCTCAAAAAGTTAAGAAACAGCATGTTTTTCAAAGCTCACCATCACAAAAATGTCAGCAACATTTAAATTAACAGTTTTTATAAATGATAGTAAAAATGTTTAAGAAAATATATGCAAAAATAATAGCTACCACTTTTATTTTATAGAAATGAATACTTATACAAGAGTTTGAGAAAAAATGAAAAAATTCTAAGGTTTGTTCATACGTGTTGATCTTCAATTGCTATTAGCGCTTTCGTTGACAATATCCAGAAGAAGTTATCTGCCTGATTTGTTGAGGTGGCATATAATTGGATGGATGGAAATAGGGATATCACAAGCTGATACTACTAGACATCTCGATGTCTCTCGTAGTGTGGTCCACCGACTATGGAATCAGTTTGAATCTGAGGATTCTGTGTCTAGAAAACATGTTCCAGACAGACAAAGAGCTACAACACCTGCGGGAGACCATTATTTTAGCTCTTTCGACCCAAAGGGGGAGCAAAACTACTATGCCTCAGCTCATGGCAGATCATTTAGTGACAACAGAAAGAAGAATCACAGATACTACAGTGTGCAGACGGCTACACATTACAGGTCTGTGTGCAAGACGGCCAGTTGTTTGTATCCCCTTTACCCAGGGCACAGAGATGCCCATTTATGTTAGACAAGAAAACACATCTCCTGGACCAATCAACAATGGACAACTGTTCTCTTCACAGATGAATCTAGGTTGACATTGGACAGTGACTGAAGCTGTCAGCTGATCTTGAGGGAACCGATACAACAGATTATGGAAAGACACAGTTACAGATGTGGCAGAATAATGGTTTGGTTGGGATCTCTTTAGGTGGTCACACTGTCCTGCATGTGTTCCATGGGAGGATTTTGACTGGTGTGAGATATTGAGACAAGATCCTTGATCAATATGTGCCACTGTCCATATGACCATATGCTGCTGCTATTGGTCCTGAATTTCTTCTGATGAACGACAATGTGCGACTGCACTGATCTCGGGTTTCTGAAGCATATCTTGAGAGTTACAGTATGGACTAGCTGGAATGGCCAGCTCAGTCCCCAGACATGAATTGTTTCATGTCACCCCAACACTCACTAGACCTCACCCCTTTGGAATTTTGTCTCTTCAAAATTTAAAATTCTCTGAATAGTCTCAAGTTCACTTCTTTGAAGACTGTCAAACAATACCTTGATAACTTTGTTACAAATAAGCCTAATAACTTGAATGATTAAAAAAAAATTTCATTTACCAGACAGATGGCAAAAAGTAACAGAACAAAATGGCGCTCATTAGATTCAGTGAAACTTCTTTATGTTTTCACTGCTTCATTTGTATTTATCATCAAAAAGAAATTTTCTTACATGTTTCAAATACAAGGTTGTTATTGAAATTTTGATGTTTCAAATGTTTCATTTGTATTTTTCATCAAAATGAAATTTCCTTATGTGTTTCAACTACTTCATTTGTATTTATCATCAAAAATCCACAAAACTTTTAAGATAATCACACAAAACTTATTACTCCTTAGTTTTGCTTATTTATTTGCCTTTTTAAAATATAATGAATTTAACTTTTTTTGTAATAAATCAATAGCAGCTCAGAATTTACATTAATTTTGGTTCAATAAGCTTCAATCACAGATAATACATTCCTGCACTATTACCTGTTTCTAATACTTTTATGAATTCCTCAGAAAATGATAAATTCTTATAATTTTTAAGTTTCTAAAAACTTTAAAAAAAATAAAGTAAAAGATAAATGTAAGTGAATTAAAAAAGAAACCACTTTTATATTATACAGAATTCTTTGAATTTTTAGCTCTTTCTTGAATAAATCTTTGTCTTCAAAGTATTTTCAGCTGCTATCAAAAAAGCTTATTCAGCATTCCTTTCTCTATTTTTTAGCTTTCTTTTTTTAAAGAAAGAATACTTCCCCCCCCCCTCCTTTGATAGCTAGGCTTTTGAAGAAATTTGTTTAGTAATATGCTGCATTTTTTTCTTATTTCAGTTTCAGTTTTCAATTCCTCTTTTTCACATTAAGCTACAATCAAATTAATCATAACTTTATATTCTTTCTTATCTTTGCTCTAAAAATCCATTCACTCATTACTTTCAAAATAATCCATCTCACCTTAAAATTCAAAATTAATGCTTATTTCTTTTATCTTAATTATTTTATACAATATGTTTCTAATGTGATAGGAAAAGGTTTAGGTACTTTAATCTAAAAATTTATAATTATTTCTCCAACTGCTTTCACATTTGGACTTTATTTGTTTCATAATCGAAATTACACACAAACTGTGAGAAATGAATTTTAGCATCATTTTCCTTTTTTGTAAAACATATTACTAAAATGAACTGTACAAAATATTTTTTAAAAACTTCAAAAACTAGAAATCAAAAGATTTACTTTTTAAACAGAAAGAGATTTTGAAAGGGGGCACTTCATTAACAGGCTAAAACAGAAGAAGAATTCCCACATGTTCAGCAGATATTTTTCAATAATTGTATTTGAAAAAGGAGTACTTTTCTGCTATTAGAGCCCCACTTAACACAAAAACATAAAAGTTGGTGCAAAATGTAACTAGATAGCGCCAAATTTAATGATATGTTCAGCTTCATGGGGGGGGGAGGGAAGAACTTGTAATAACAGTCATGTATCATGTAATATAATATATATAATGTTTAATGTGTGCAATGCCAAATATTTGCAAAAATCTGATCTGTTTTCACTTAAAAACTCAGAGAACTGTACAAATTTGGCATCACATTCAACCTTGATATTATGCAATTTAATAATGCACAGCTAATCATGACACAACATAAACATGCTAGCACATTTGGTGCTTTGGCACACATTTGACAAATGATGCCTCTTTAACAGAAAAGTACCCCAAAAAATACATCTCATAATTACTGCAACTGTAAAACACTATGTGGTATGATGTCATACATTTTTATTATATGCTATTAAAGGCAAAAACAAAATATCAAAATATTCATTAACAAATTCAGGAATGAAAAAGTACACACCCCGTTCTTTGGCAAATGCTCTGCTTTTTTCAATAACATTAGATGCGAGTGGATTATATCGAGTTCCTTCAGGAAATATAACCATCCATGTCTGCAATAACAAAAAGGTTTTAAAGAAATTAATTTGATACTAATAATGGACACTAATAATTTTTTATTTAATACCTTCCATACATTATTAAGCTGAATTTTTCAAACTTTAACAATCATGAAATATTTCAGTATTTTTCTGAGCCGGTAGTTAACCAATGCTACTTAAATTGATCAGATTATATCACAGATAAATTATTTCTCTATTATTTTTAACAAACAGCCTCATTCTGAGTAAAAAGTAAATCTTAAAAAAAAAAAAAAAAAAAAAAAAAAGGAGGGATCATAATTTTGTGAATTACCATCTGCATGTAATGTTATCTGCTATCTACATACAAAAATAAAAATGTATAAGAGTTAATAAACATGATTTGCAAAATTGTACAATATAAAGGGCTAATATAGCAAAAACTTTTTTATTGAACTATTGAGAGGCCAGAAAAATTTTTCACCAAATTTCCATAAGTAATGGTATATTAGGGAGAAAAAAACAATTATACCACATAAATTCACATAACTGTGTTTTAACAAAATATTTTTAGTACTTTCTGATTATCTACACTTCTCTCCCAAAAAGTCGCCATTCATTTATGACTAACTTTTCACCAAGCTAAGGCATGAAAGACAACAACCAATTTAAAAAATGGAGCATACTAAGAATTACCTAAAACAGCAAACAATTAGCAAAATTAAATCCAAAGAAATATCCATAATAAAACCCTTACCTTTTTTGTTGTTGCTCTTCCCATATACACAAAAATCTGTTTCAGCTTGAAAATCACCATAAAATTGAAGAAACTTGGCAACATGTACACATTGTCATTCTCTCCACACATACACACTGATCTGTTTTTGCTTAAGAAATCACAGAAATTGTGCAAACTGGTGTACAAATTTGAATCCCTAAAATTCTACTTTTTAATATTTAATTAATATACTTTTTAATATTTAAGATGCAGCCACAAAAATGCAGCACATAAGCTAAATCTGGAGTAGCTCTTTAATATCTAGGTTCGTAATAGTGAAGAAAATGACATGCTTCTAATCTAAATCATCCATTGCATTTGAAATGAAGAACTAACTTATGAGTTCAACAAAATCCCTACAATTCATTAACAGTACCCAAAAAAAGCATAACGCTAAGAGAGAAACTTGTATTGTCTTGATAATCACTGCTTTACATAATCTCAGACAGAAAAACTTACTGTCACATACCATACTCAAAGCTTATTTAACTAAACTGCCAATAGAATTGAAATATAAATAAATAAATACAGATTGTGTTAAAAGATTCCATCTTTATAACTACATCTATACAAAACTAGCAAATATAGATTGGTTCTGGCACTAGATTAAAACACATAGCATTTAACAACAAAATACATACTGCGACCAGCCTAAAAGATCACAAATAAAAAAAAACCTGCACTGTAATGCTGATGAATAGATGTCAGTATCGCATAATGTGAAACTGCCATCTACACTCCAGCATTGCAATTATATACACTTTATAATTTAGATATATCATAACAAATGGATTGAGGCTATTTGACAAAAATAAGAAAGGCCTTTGTGGAAGTTTTTTTTAACGGAAATTGGCCTCATTTACATCATACAGAGATGTACATGAAGGAATTTTGAGAGATAATATCTAAATATACCTGAGGCTACCTCATTTGCTCATTTTCTATACGACTCTGATAAGAAAAATATCAAACTTCCAGCATTCAAATATTTGCTACATGAACAACGGAGAATTTACTTCAATGGAAAAATTTAATTTTTTCTAAATTGGTTTTATTTACTATTCCAGTTTGAGTAACTAAATGAATAAAATGTTATTAAATCTAAAATTTTTCCACTCAAAACAAATTGTACAGAAAATGGCAGATTTTATCAATGCTAAATTGAAATTAAAATTTCATACAGGGAAAAAAATACTTACAGGAATTCTCTTATTTTGTAAATATTGTAGAGAAGATATCATTTTATTTGAGTCAAAATAATGTCTCTTTACGAAAACGCAGCCATGCTACAAGATAAAATGATTAAATTGTTTATAAGCAAAACTTTATTTAAAATATGTACTTCGTTTCATATTAATGATCAATGCAAATAATAACTTTAAATATAAAAATGCATAAATAAATACTATTTCAAATAGCATAAAAGAGCATGCATATGATTAACTGCTAAGTAAATTATCAATCATGTTGCGTTTATACATACAATAATATAAAATTTGGTAAAAGTTTACAATTTGGTGCCCCTTGTTATTTTGGTGATTCTTTTTTGATGCCAAGATCGGCACCAGGAATGCATAATTTCAAGATGGCCACTATACAAAACCAAAATAAGAAGTAAAAGAATTGCACAAACTCGGTATCCATGTACACTTCGATCTATTTTCACTTGAAAAAAAAAACCCAGAATTGCACAAACTAGGCATTGTGCACTGCCTTAACTTTGTCCATGTACACATTGATCTATTTTCACTTAAAAAAAGTCAGGAAGCTAAAACAAAGTTAAAACTATCGTGGTAATCAGAAATAGGGTTTCATCGCCAAAACTGAACAAAATTTTTCACTAATCGAAAGGGCACCCAATTCTTCGCTAGAGCCCAAAATTTATATAACACCTGACACATATCTCATTAATTTACCATTGAATTTAGCAAAGAAATAACAATTCTTTTATGAAATATTTCAGAAAATGTATATTATCAGAATCCAACGAAGACTTTAAAGAACTAAGTTTAAAATGTGAAAGTTAAGCATACTTCAGATTGACATATGAAAATGAAGATATAAATATATAATAATGAATAATCTTTTAATAATAACAAAATTAGCATTCCTTCTGATGGCACAAAATAGAGAAACTATGGAAAAGACAGAATTCCTTAGAGGTAATCAACAAAATATTCTGTATGAGGATACAGGTTAGTCTTTTTTTTGGTAGCATATAATTAGACTAGAATTCAAAAACACGAATTGTGACTTTTCACTGTGTCTTATAAATACAACAGAGACAGAGAAAAGAAGTAAAGGTTATCAGATGGCACCAACTCATGCTTACAGAAGTCAAATTTTTGGCTTTAAATCAAAGGTAAAACAACGATAAACTAAAATTAATGAAATTTAAGTATAGCCTAACGGCTTCATGTTATAACTAGCACGTAAGCTGGCTCTGACCTAAGTTAGTATAAATAAGCCTAATGACAATAACTTAACACTGCAGAATTCTAATCATGAGAATCAAAGTTAGCAATATGGCCATCAAGCAGGCTTTATATATTCTGATTTTACCCTCCAAAACCTTCCTTTAAGTACTTCCTTCTTTGTACCTAATTTAAATATCCCATACACTGTAAATTTACATTCTGGCAGGGAAATGAAATGAGGCTTCATAGAAAAGTAATTTAACTTGAAATGCGACCTTATAATGTTAACAAATCACAATAAGAAATATGAAAAAAAAAATAATAATAACAGTGTTTTCAGTGTGTGGCTTTTGCTTATAGACAATAAAATTTCAAATTATAAACAGATACCCGAAAGCTGAAGCAAAAGGGATCTTGAGAAATGAACGATAGGCTATCACTTTGAAAGAACAATTTTATGCTTTTATAGGAATACCCTATGCATAAGGTAGTAATATTCGAGCTAAAGAAATTTAACTTCATTACGGTCTAATCCATGGTTAAGCCAAAAGAATATATTAGCATCATCCTAAACAAAAGTGATAGTGGTAAAAGAGCTGTATGACACAACAGATTGGTTTCTCTCCAATGTTTGAAAAGAAAATAGTCATCAACATGAAGTTTCTTTTTAGTTTGTTCAAATGAACAAACTAAATGAACTACTATTGAAGGTAACTAAAGGCTATCTAAATAACTGCATTGAACAAGCATAAAATGTACGTGTTAATCATGGCAAAAAATATTATTAGTGGTAAAAAAAATCTTGCTAGATATGAATAAAAAAAAAACCCCACCTTTCATAATGTCTTTGTTATGTTCAGAATGCTATAAATTGCATATCAAAAATGCAGATCATGATTTCTACACTAAAAAATGAAACAAACCTCCCTTTGTGAGCATCATATGTTATGAAAGCAGTTGGCATTTCAGTCTTATGCATGCCAAGCACTAATGCCAGTGAAACCTATACAACTGCACCAGAGACTGGGATTGATGGATAGTAAAATTTTCAGAATTTAAGCAGGCACTGGGTGGTATAATTTATGAGCCATGGGATATTGCATCAGGCAGCAAAATATACAGCTTTCACCCTGAACTTACGTAAAACAAAGTGGTATCAGAAGGGCAAACATATCATCAGATTTTATTAAATTTCATTTAGTCAACAATTAGCTGAAGAGACGTATAAAAATCATAAAGGATACCTTGAAACTCCATGTATAAATTTTACTGGAAAGTAGAGAATATGAATTTGTAACACTATATCCCATAACCAAGATTTAATTTCTACAGTCGGAAGTGCCAGAGCCCTATAGAAGACCATCAGGAAAGAGAAAAAATAAATAAAATTAATTAAAAACACTTGGGAATAATTTGCAACACAATTTCTCTTGAGTTCGATTTTTGAGTTGTTTTTGAGTTAAATAGGCATGCCGATTTCAAACCTGTAGTTAGTTTCTTCTACCACATAAAATTTTTTCTGTATACCTTATGTGAAAGCGATCTCATTCCGCAACATCAAGCATGCAACATAAGAAGTACTACTGCTCTCCTATTGGCACTGGTGAATGATGCCGTAGAAGACCAGAGACAAGTGCATACTTGTCTAGATTCATTAAGTATGCCTGTGAAATTGTGTATCACTCTGATAGAGTGAAGCACATTCTGATGTGGAGTCCCAGTTTTTGCATATACAGTCAAAAGTCATTAATTCGGACACCCATAATCCTGACCTCAAAGCTACAAACTTTCTGCGCATGCATCACCTTGACGCATGCGCATAGGCGTTTACGCATGCGCGTTAGACCTTTACGGCTGCGAATTTGCGTGTGCACAAGCGCATAATACGTTTACGATTGTGCGCAAGCATAACGTATTGTGCACAAGCATATTGCACAAGCGTAACATATTGTGCACGTTTAATGTATAACGGACGGTATAAGCTAAGCTAAAATTATCTAATTGCAGATTGCATTGTTCCTTAATCTTTGAATTGGATTCGGCTTATTATTTTTTGCAGACTGTTAGAGCAATTTTATAAAAGTAAGCTTGAACTTTCGATTATGTCAAATAGAATTTCCAATATATATTTACTAATATGTAAAGGATCTACAAAGCGAAAGTATGTTTTGAAATCCGAAATCCGTTTATAATTTTCACGCTTCTCTGTGGCAGGGGGGGGAGAAACGCTGTAGCACGCAATGAATTGAAAGTTGATCTGTCAGCACTATACTTATCTTCAGGGCAGATGTTTTTATTTTTTTTGGCTTATAATTCCTTATACTAAATGTAGTATTTCATCTCGATGTACTCCGTCTTTGATATGATTTAAATCAAGTTCCTCGTCATTATAATTCGCTTCAGATAGTGAAGAAAGTGACAGATAGGTTATTGAAAATGAAAACATTTCGATTGACAAATTAGTCGGTATTCTCGGCACAGCAATTATAGGACTTGAACAGCGGAACCTTGTAACTAAACAAGAAATTATGTCTGTTTAATAGAATTGAAGAGAAAGTATTATCACATGAAATGAAGCAACTTTAAACAACTTACATTGAAAGAAATATTTAATAAAGTAAACAAACAAATATTAAGCTTTTTCTTTTTGTAAATTTTGATACCCTTTAGATCATAATTGTTCTTTATTTCATAAATTACGGTTTCATATTTTTAATTTTGTAATTTCTGCATGCCATCTTACCAGATTTAAACTGATGATCTATAATCCGGAAAAATCGATAATCCGGAATCGCCGAAGTCCCGACGAGTCTGGATTAAAGACTTTTGACTGTACCTGCTAAAAATACTTAAAAATTATGAGATTATAAATTTTCTCAAGCAATATAAATGTAAATTTATGAAATATATTGATGCTAACATCATACTCAAGCTATTTTAATCATAATTTCAAAAGAAAAATGCCCATTTTTATAATAATAATGACTTATAACAATTATTGTATTATTAATACATTATTGATTTAAATTCAAAAATTTATTCACTATTAGTTGTTTAAGTACAGCATTTATAACAATTTGTTTTAAAGTCAAAATGACTTTGATGGGCATTATAAAATGATGAATGATGCAAAGTATCTGCCAAAGAGGATGCCCAGTCCCTCCATCACCAGTATGATGCATATATTATAGTTGCTGGTCATTCATCATTTGAATATACAGTAATTGTATATAATTATCAAATATTTCTATTCCATATTTTCTTAAAATGACTTTGTGTTCTCCACCCTTTCATTCATACTTCACCTCATATCGTATAATAAATTTGTTACTTTTGCTGTTTCTCTTACCCTTTAAATTTCTGACCACTAATTTTGTTACATCCAAAACGCACATATTTAAGAATTGGGCTCTACTCTTATATGCGCCCTAAGATCACCAAATGTGGCGATATGTGTTCTGTATTGGTTTTTGGCACGATAGCATGTTGTATGGCAACCCTTTTGATGTTGAAAACTCTTTTGCTGAAGTGGTTTAATTGCTCGTTGGTTCGTGTCGTGTGTGTTTTGAAATGGCCTATATTGCAATGAGAGACGTGTTTGCAAGAAGGTCTGGGAGATTATTTTTAGTGGCTGTGCATGAAAGAAGTAAGGAAACATTGATGCAGTATATTAAAAGAGTGGACTGAGCCTTGTACAGCTATTTTTTCGGAAGGCAGGAAATCTTACAAGGATTTAGGAAAAGAAGGTTTCAAATATTTATTTGTGAACCATAGTATGAATTTTGCGGATAGCGAGTCTGGCTGTCATATAAATACCATAGAGAGTACATGGCGGCATGTTAAAGCTACGTTCTGCTGTCCGAAGAAGCATCGGTTATGGTAAGTGCATTTTATTTTGTAGAATGTTAAGTTGTTTTTTTACTATGAATTTCTGTTGTTATTGCTGTTTTTTAAATTATTTGTAATTTATTTTAGTTATTTTAGTTTATTTTGTTGATTTGTGTGCAATGCCTAGACTATGCAATTCGTAGATATTTTTTTAAGTTTAAACAGAATGCTGTGTACATGGTATTATATAAAATTTATTGTTGTTATGTTAATTTATTGAAGCGAGGTGTGTGTAGTTCGTAGATTCCTTTTCTGCCTAAATTGTGTAATTCGTAGATGTTTTTTTAAGTTAAAACAAATCGCTGTGTGCATGGATTCTTGTCAAATATTTTTGGCTACAAACTTTATGTGTTTGGTATCTAAATTTTTTGTTTTTGTTTCGAATTTTTAGCTTAAATTGTGTGTTCAAAATGTGGTTTTTGCATGTGCGAAAACCGCGTTTTTGGAGACATTTTAGGCTTAAAGTTCAAAATGTTGACAAAAAATTTAGATAGTAATATGGCAATGTGGAGTTTCTCGCCAAACATTTTTGGTGAGAAATTTGTCGCCGCATTTGGCGATCTGAGGGAGTATATAAGAGTAGTTCCAAAAATTGTGCAATACAGAAAATTAACAATTCACAATAAGAATTAAAAAGATAAAATTCCACAGATCCTAGAACAGTGCAATCAATATTAAGATTTCTGGTCTCCTAAAATTTTCATTTGCCTTTAATTGTGGCATGAACTATAAAAATATTATCACAAAATAAAGTTCTAATATTTTATACATTTATTACATCTTCTGCTAATCTACTAACCTCATAAAAATAAAATCCATACATTGGAACAAGTTGCAGAGAATCTTTCATGACATATCGGACATGACCTATGGAGCCCTGCCTATCAGCTAGCATATGTACAATGACCCAGTCCACTAAAAAATAAAATACATAAGGTAAACTAGAGAATAACAGAATATGTGCAGATATGACAGAAAATTACAAAAATATATATTACATATACTTTCAGAATTTCAATAAGCATGTAATTAAACAACTATAAAATATGCAGAAAGCAACATTTAAGGTAACAGCCTCTTTAAAATTTGCAGTTAAAATTCATATAAAAGGTTGAAGCTGATTAATATGCATTAAGTGCTTTCCAAAAATATAATTTTCTATCCATAACATTTTTATCTAGATAAGTACATATGTAATAATTTTCATTTTTAGAACCATAAACAAAAAGGGTGCAAGAAGCTAAATGCCCCCTCCCCAACAAAGGAGCTGGTCCCTTCTTTGGTCAGCATGATAATTAGCAATAGTTGTATGTACTCCATGTGTTGCATTAAATAATTTCTCTGTAAACAGAATTATATTTTTATAACCACACTAGATTTAAAAAGTAACACCAAGATTAGATCAACAAAAAATCAATTAAAATGTAAAATAATGTTTATATAATAATATATTTTTTATTTAACATCAATAATTTTGCAACTTAATTTTTAACAAAGAACATATTTCTAGAATATATAATTTAAGCATAATGAAACAACAATTCATAAAAGATGTTAATCGACGAACTACAAAGCAATTATTTTAAAATTCAGAATGCATTTTAATTTAAAATTGTCTTTCTTTGTAATAAATTTACTTGATATGTCCATTAATGTCTATAATCAAATTTAAGGGCTTTCCTTTTATTATCAGTCCTAAACTATATAAATATATTAGAATACCTCTTAAAATTTCAGTACTACATTAGTACAGGATTATAAATTATTAAAAAAATATAAGTAATGCTTCAAAAACAAGGGTAAAATACAGAACTGAGGAATTTTTTTTTAATACAGGAAATGTAAAGACACTCATACAAAGTAAAAAACTCACCAGTGCTTTGATGGTTACTGATATATATAACCCTTTCTTTCTTAGTTGAAACCTCTTCAACATTTCCGTAGAGAATGAGCTATATTAAAAATAAAAAAAGAAGTATTTTTAATAATGAATTGCAGAAACAACAAATGAGTTTTTCATTTAGTAGGCTTTAATTTTCAAAATTCCTGAAAAGAGATATAACACAAATTTAGTAGTCACACTTAAACTCTCTTATTTTGCTTGCATTTCTATTTGCTGAAAGAAAGAGAAGCATTTAGAAAAAAAGAAAAACATTTAAAAATCCAGGGAAAAAAATTATTCTTAAAGGGGGAGGGAAACACAAACTAAAAAATTTCTGATCGGCATTTTAAGATTCAGTTTATAATGTTAAGCAACTGAAAATAATAATTGGTAAAGAAGTATATTGCAGATCACATTTTTTAAACATCATAGTCCTAGCATTACTGTATCTTCTTTTTTGTTGTCTTATACAACAAAACGTTTCTAATGAACAAAAATAAAATTTAAAACAAGAAAATTTACTACGATAAATAATTAGAAAAACTTACTTTAGTGCCGGTAACATGCTCGAAAAAGAAAAGTACTAGTTTTTGATACACAGAATAATAAATATCGTCCCCGGCTTGATATATCCAATTTGGTAGCAAACAGGACACAACCCTCCAAGTTAACCAAATAAGAAAATACTGAGGGACAACACCGAACATGACAATAGTCGGCACGACCATCTTCACATGTTTCAAACTGTAAACATACAGAAAAAGAAAAAAACAAACATCACGATTTAATATTTCACGCTAAACAAGTAATCAAATATTCGCGGCGAAAAATTTAATTTAAAAGAAAGCAAGTATCATAAAAAGTTCATCTCAACGCGTAAGTACAGTAGCCGGTTTAAAAGCATTCAACATATAGCAATTGATATATTTCCTCTCCCTCACTTTTCAAATTTCATACCGGTCAGTTACGTCGTCGTTCCACCACTGCAAAAAACTTTGCTTCATTACGCCGTTAATTGAAATCCAGTTGTGAAAATTTAGATTTTTACACACTATCAGTAAAAATTTGTTTGGAACAGCAAAAGTATAGCCGGCGTAACAGAGCAGAACTCGACAATTCCGCCAAACTACCGCTCCTATTAAGAGCTCCTTCCATGCGCATAAACCTACTCAGCGTTTAACAGTATCGATCTCTGATTCTCTGTCCTGTAAGAAATAAATGTATAACTCGCATTACTCTCTAATATTTTATAATTAAACACTTATATTCACCAACCATTTCGTGGCAGTTATATCGCTGTGAAACTGGCGCATTTTTATGAAAATGCATTTCTTGCACATCGAGGAATGCATTTCCCCGCCGTCTCTCGTGGGTTCCAAATACGTATCTTTCAGAGCAGAAACCAAGTCAATGTAGACGCATCTCAGGTAAATTTTTTTGGATTGGCGCCAGTGGAAAACATTTCAGAAACAAAAGAATGTAGCACAATTATAATTTCCTTTTGTATGTTCGCAATAAGAATACGTATTTTATATACGACTGAGTTAAGACTGCTATTTGTGTCAGCTGGCCATGAAAGAATCAATAAAATCTCTATAATGACGTCGTTCGCGAAGAATTAATTTATCATTCTTCTCAGGCAGAAGAAGTAATTTTTTATATGTCCCTTTTTTATTGCACATTTGTCACGAAATGTGAACACATAGCATTTCGAGCCAGGACAAAATTTATTCTAATGCTGCATAGAACGCATCGAAAGACCACTCCATTCACAATAAATAAGCAGAGCTAACCGTAACTTACGTTGCCTTCGTGGTGGAATATTTAATGCGCAATCAAAAAGTAAAATACGATGATGTGAATTGAAAATTTATGAATTAATGTAGTTATCTTTTGCACAAATAATTCTGCTGCAAAACTAAAGCCAACAACTGTGTACCTTTTTGGGGCCTACAGACGTAGAGCTCCAAAAAGATTAACATTGGAAAAAGGGAAAACTGATAAATTGTATTTCCTATAAAATTTCAATTAAAAGTAGAATAACGAAATAATTATTGCTTAAAATTTATTTAAATTATTCATTACATTAATTATGAGTAATTAGTGATTTTTATTGTTATCTGAACTAGTACAGATGAATCGGAGATGCAGGTCATTGAATGATTACAGTTGCATGCGAAATCTGTGTTCATATGACTGGATTCAAGGTGGACCCTCTAACCACAGAAATGACTTCATATCTATTCTGCATGCACGGAAGTCCATTAAAACTCGCCTTCTCCAAGCTAACTTCCTCTAAAAACAAGAATAGGAAGAAACTACCCGAGCTCAATGATTTTATCCGGAAATGCTGAATAGCAGAACTGGTACTTTTATCCGAATTCCTCAGTTTAAATCAAGCAAAACCTCTAAGAACTATGCCCAATTACAAACATATGGGAATCACAAGAAGAGTTCTGTAACTCCAGGCCCACCACTGACCAAGTGACTGTAGCTCAAAGCATGTGCATTTTGCCTGGGATTCTGTTTCTGACTGATCTGGCCGGACAATTTTCGCCTAGTAGGATATAAAAGCTAGCAAATTTCTCTGAGAAAATCCTTCTCGTTAGATATCTCTTCCTTTTGGCACATAGCCAAGCCTAGCGTGCTTTATGGAACTTTAAATGAGCCCTGTCCTATACGTAATCTCATCAAAACAACAATAGTAAAATTTCCTCGTTGTTGCTCTGCCAAGGCACAACATTCATATCTGTTTGTCTGAGCAACGGAATGATGTTTTAATAATAATATTCTGTATATGTTTGAAATATGTTCTAATCGATACAAATATTGTAAAATGCAAATTGTCTTCGAAATACTATTTTAAAGTAGACTAATTCTTAAGGTTACAGTTGAGGTTGGGTATCTTATGGTTATAAAACTAGAATGGAATTAGGCGAAGGCTCAGGTTTTGACCGAGGAGGCAGACGGGGATGGAGTTCAAGGGTCTTGTATTTCTCTTTCACTAGCATCAGACTTTTGAGAAGACTTTTCCTCTGAACAAGATTTTAAGGGTTCCAATGCTGTAAGTACGCTATATTGTTATTAACAGAGATGCCTTCTCAGAAATTCGAACTGAGCCCAGTGGTGTGACAGCTGACACTGCTAATCAACTTATCGCCTAAAGTGGCATTTAATTCCCTAAATAACATGCTGGACATAATTTCAGAAGAATGTCAAGACGTAATGTACCTAATTCCGTTTAGTTGGGACACATGACAAATATTTCAGTTAAAAAATAATCTAATTTCTTAGTATATTAACCCTTTTTTTACAAATCGAAGCAGGTGCGCTAGTCTCATTTAACATATAAAATCTTGTCTTGGCAAAACTAATGGGTGAGTAGACCGTAAAGAATCCAGAAATATTCTTTGGAAGGTGTTACCATGCTGAGCGAAACATCACAGCTTCAATGTTCTTCTACGCGCCTTCCAGCATAGTGGATTTTCCGAGTCTTCCCATTCAGCAAAGTACAGATCTTAAAATTAGCTTTCAAATTTAGTCAGTTTGTTGTTCATTAACAAACTGAGTGATTTAAAAACAATGTATTGCAGCTGCACGAAACGAAAACTCTTATCATCCGCGCGATCTCACACGTAGCCGGTTCTCAATATGTTGCCACTCGGCATAGCATAAAGTCATTAATTTATCTTTCATATTTAACCACTCTATCATTCGATAACAAACCGAATTACTTAAAGGCAATGAATGCACTTCTTAGAAATTCGAACAGGTAATTTACTCTTCTATAATCATGCATCTAACTGATATAAATTGAAATATATTCAGCATAGTCGAACCTCCTTTAACGGATACTTCACTTTGAAGGGCACTTGTTGGGCAGTCACTAAATCCTATGACTTTTAAACAGGAAATCAATACTCTCAAATTTAACGGACGTTCCCTAATAATGGATAAAATCCTCGGTCCCACAGATATTTACTAACAGAAAATTTAAGCGTTGTTTAACTGGCATAACAAGCCTAATTTTTATGAAATTTTGCAACTTTGTTGGGATGAATAAAAGTTATTTTTAACAGCATATTTTTCGTAATAGAAGAACTCTTTTTTTCTTTCTCTCCTTTTTACGTTTTACGGCTTTAAATATTCTTAAATTTTAAAAATTTTTTGATCCTAAGCACTTTCTGAAGGGTTTAAGATTATAATATAAAGAGTTTAGCTTGCTGTTTTCTCATTTTGTTTTGCTTTTTTACATTTAGCCTCTTTGCTTTGTTTTGATGAAGCCTTTTTCACGGGTTTTATGCTTTTATTTCTCAATAAATTTTTCCTAGTGGTTAAAGCAGATAAATTAATGCTTATACTGGTTTGCAGATATATTTATCACGCGAAGAAAGAACAAAAGAACAGCATTTTTTACCAATTCACTATCAGTTTGAAATGATTACATTTTACTAAATTTCATTAACAGTAATTTTCTAGCCTTTGTGTAACGACTGTGCTGTCAAAAATTTTTTTTTCCTTTCAAAAATTATGAATATGTTTCCTTTACGTTTCGTAATCCAATATATATAACTGTATGTGGCAATGACATAAATGACATAATTGGCATATTCAGAATGCTTTTTCTGATAAACTTCCCCACTTATTTAAAAGCAAATTTATTGCCAGAATTAATTTCTTTGGTTACTCATTTAAAAGCGGGAAAAAAAAAAAAAAAAAATCTGAAAGCTTTGGGATTTTACATTGCACCCAAAGGGGCGTTTTATTAACGTTTCCTGTGTTACCTTTATTTATTAAATATCATGTTCTTCGAACTTAAACCATAAAATTCAAATTAACAGCAAAATAGCAAAATAATTTTTAAATGAGCATATTTTTAGAATTTCCGATACACAGTCTCGCGCGCTGTAGATAAAAATGTTTTTCTTTTTCTTTTTCTCAGTGCAGTGTTGCCATTGCTCGCTTTGAAATCATTGAGTTTCATAATCAGAAATTCTTTAAAGTGTTACAAAGTATAAAATCGATAATAAAACAAATTTCAAATTCCAAATTTGGGCTTCCACATGCCCAGATTCGGTGGAGGATTACGTTCTTCAAAATTTCCTGGCTCTAGGTACCGTTCTTTTATTACATTGCGAGAAACATATACATTCATTTATGCAGATTCTTCATTATTTAATTTCTTTAAATATAACATAGGGCGATAATATTTGGTGGCAACATTTTAAAAATTGATACGGACATTTACAATGAATCAACGCAAAATGCCAAAACGAATTTAATAGCTCTTCTGAGCTAACGCTTCTTTGGGTTAAAAATTCTCTTGTCATTTTAACGGTAGTTTAGAAGTTTAATCATACTATAAATTTCGGCTTTCAATTTTACTCAAATTACAGTGCCCTGAGCCCGGCCTATATATTATTTTTATCTGAAACAAAGGACTCAATGCGCACCCTTGTTTAGAATCCAATTAATTTTATCCGTGAAATTTTATGTTAACAAAGGTATTTTTTTTAAAAGATCAAAGAATTTTCAAATATTTCTTTTAATGTATCATTTCATTATGTTATTTTACTAGCCCAGAAAGGCTGTTAATTTCGTTTTGGGATTTTGCGTCGAAAACTTTAAATATCTGTTATATTTTTCAATTTGTTGCCGTCAAATGTTATCGCCTTGTGTTATATTTAAATAAATTAAATAATGAAGAATCTGCATAAATGTATGTATGTTTCTCGCATTGTGATCAAACAACCGTACCTAGAGCCATCAAATTTTGAATAACGTAATCCTTCGCCGAATATAGGCATCTGGAAGCCCTAATTTGGAACTTGGAATTTGTTTTATTATCGATTTCATATTTTGTAAAACTTTAACGAAAGTTTGATTAACAAACTCAATGATTTCAAAGCGAGCAATGGTAACACTGAATACAAAACAAAACATTTTTATCTCCAGCGCGCGAGACTGTGTATCGGAAATTCTAAGATATGCCCATATTAAAATTATTTTGTGACATTGCTGCTGAATTGAATTTTATGGTTTAAGTACAAAGAACATAATATTTAATAAATAACGGTAACACACAAAACATTTAAAAAAAGAAGGAAAAAAAAA